TAAGTCGATAAACGAGGTGTGGCAATTAAGTAATGAGACTGATTGAATAAAAACCGTGTATTTCAAAATTATTCCACAACTCTGCCATACCGTTCAAAGTAGTCCCTTTGGGCAGCCATACAACAATTCCAGAGCGTTTTTCATGCTTCGATGTTCGCGAGTACCCTCGTCACGGCCGCCTAGATGTCCTCAATCGACTCAAAATGGGTTACTTTGACAACTGATTTGATTATAGGGAACAAAAATAGTCACAAGGTAACGGGCAAATAAGATGGTTGCTGCAACATGGCAATCCCTTTAGAGGCTAAATACTGGGCCACGTTGAGGGCAGTGCGGCACGACGCGTTGTCGTGATGAAGGTTCCAGTTACGAGCGATGTCTGGGCGCACCTTATTGACTCGTGTTTGCAATCTTTCGAGTACTTGGCAATAGTAGACTTGATTTACGGTTTGCCTCATGGATTACAGCGCCCACACGCTGCGAATTCGTGTCGGTCCGCACCTCGTCTTCCACGCTTTCATACTCCTCCTCAAACTCTTTATACCAATTTAAGCATATGTTTCCAAGGCTGTTTCGCCCGATTTGGCGCAATATTTTATCGCGACTCTTTGCTCATGAGTTCGTTTCACCATTTTCGTGACGAGCACCACGAACATACATAACTCAACACCACACAGCCGGCGAACTAAACAAGCTAGAGCGATGGCAAATATATCAATAGAGAGGAGATGAATGTCGGGAGAAGGGAAAGGGAGTCTTAAGGTCGCAGGGCTACCATAATCGTACGTTGTGTACAGTCCAAAGGCCGCGTACAACTTTCTGGAGGGCTTTAAAACTTTTAAACAATCTTTAATTTTTTAAAATCTCTCGAATCGATAATAGGGCTTGCTACTAATATAAGGAAGGGCTTCCAACAGGATGATATGTTCTGTCCATATTTAGCTGATAGTGAAATTAATTAGAACTAGATTTAAAAAAAAACACGTATTCAAAGAAAGTTATTGAGGACATACTGGATATTTGCTGCCCTTTCGAAAATAGTCTACTAATGCGGCATAGTCTAGAATAAAACTTTCCAGTTATCGGATCACCCGCTATCCGGAACGGACAGACTGATCTAAAAATGAGTTAAAATATAATTCAAGCAAGTTGCTTATTTGAATTAAAAAACAACTTATTTACGTCTGACTTCACATTTTCCAACATGCAGTTGGTTTTTTGTGCTTAAAACATATGCTGCGAACTGCACTCTTGAGTCAACTACCACTTGGACTGTGGCATACCACATGGTGCCTGCAATGGCTGTGCTGCTTACACGCTTTTGCCACGAGCATTTCCATACGATTTATTTGCATTCATTCCATGTCAACGAAGCGATAAGCTGTCGTCCTATCTCAAGACTTCTACACCAACCTGGCGCATATTTTCTCCTTTCTGGCAGACGTGTGGGGAATGTAAAGAGAACGGAAGTCAAAGAGTCAGGACAGGCGTGCAGAGCATGCTACTTCAGCAAATGAAAGTATGTGTGGGTGTACATGTATGTGTGACTATTCATGAACCGGATGCACGCTGTCATACCTTTGCTGCTTTCAACAAATTCTTTTTCTTACTCTTTGAGATATGCACAAACATACGTACATGCATTTCAAATGTACGAGTGACAGCTCATATACGCTCTCCACTCATGTGTTCACTACTCAATTTGCTCACTTACGAGTATATGACCTTTTCGCTTTTTGCCTTTCGTTTTGCTTGTCAACGACTTTGTTTCAAATCTCTGTTTTATTCTTCTATTCTCATACTTCTCTTTTGTTTCTCCTAAAGTAGCTTTTTATATATGTATGTGCAGCAGAATTGTATCCTCTCTCTTTGTTAGTGAGTAAATGGTATGAGATCAATTTCAAAGTCCAAATGTTGTTCTCACTATTGGTTTCATAAGAATAGTTCTGTTCGGCGAGAAAATCTAGTAACAATTAAATTTATTGCACCAACAACGGAAACGGTTTTGCGCATTAAATTGTTTAGAAGCTTTTGTTACGAAGCTATCACCGAATAGAATTCAGTAGCTATTTAACCAGAAAGCTGTATTCCAGGTGTTTATTTTAGCAGTTGCATTTACTTGCTTCACAGCCGTCATACTTCCAGGGTCCACAGAATACTTTTGTTTCCGATGCTTTAAATACATAAATAAGTTTTTATATATTTTTTCTTATTGTCCAAAAATGTTTACTGAATATTCCAGAAATTAGTAGATTCTTTTTGTATAAAAATCTTAGAGAAATGTTAGGCGCAGTGTTCGTAATCAAACACTTCACAATCAAACACAATCAATTTGTAGTTCATGGCTCTGCCCTGAGATAAGTTTTAATGTTTTAGCACGTGTAAATTATGAGTAATGAATGAACCATTTCACCGACTGTGTCACGATTTGAGTTTTCAATCCATGACCTTCGACCTTTCAGACTCATTTTTAGCAAAAAAAAAAAAAAAAACTATACCGGCCTCTCTCAACCATTTAATTTCAAAACTCTTAAATTAATGAATTTCAGCTGCTACATAAACACTTTACTTATGCAGCTGAGCAGTACCAGTTTTCAACTTCCTTTTCAAAAGAAATTCCAAGATTGTTTTCTCTTCGCTCAAAATTTTCCACCGAACGCGGTTCAGTGAAAGTTGGTAACAATTAATACTACAGAGCAGCTCACCAAACACACTAAGTCTTTGATTATTCCAATTCTAATTTTCTTTGCTTCATTGGCAGAAAAAATCTGGCATTTATACCAATTGACACCCCTTTGCATTCATTTGTCGGAGTGCACTCAAGCTTGGGTTAATTAAATTTTCGTTACAGAAGTGCTCGCTTTTTGTTGTTGTATTCAGAGAGAATGTCCAGCAAGAGCTGAAAAGAAAAGCAAAAAATCGATACTTTGGAGAGCATTTTGGCAGTTTGTCTGACAGGCGTAATATCTTCTTCTACTATTTGATACAAATTCATTATTAAATGGAGAGAACGGTTGAATGAGCTGAAAGAAAATAAAATCTAGCTAAAAATACACTCGCCTTTAAGATTTTCTTCTGGAGTTTTGGGAACGTTATATTTCTAGATCGTTTAATTTGGCCCTTGAATCGATATTAGAGGAAGAGATTTCTATCAATATTAGGACTTATATGACTTATGCTTCTTAATAGTAGTTATTTTTGGTATTTGGGAGAAGTTTGTTTTAAATAAAACGTTGTTATTAAAGCAGAAGCAGAAATATCTTTTACTAATTCAACTTTAACCGGACAATTTCGACAATGTTTGCAAGCAGGGAGTTATTTAAATTTATATATATATATAATATAAAGGTTAATTTTTTAGCAATTATCTCTTTGGCAACACGTGGCTGACGCACGTTTCATGTTTTGTATCACGGTCAAACATCTTAAATTTGGTCTATAGTTTAAAAATGAATCGTCTTACAAAGGAATTTAATTTTATTATCCAAATGCGTTCTCTGTTAAAAAGTTCATTGCACGCTTCGAAGCTCATTTTTAGCTTAATGGATAGCGTAAATAAGCAGAATTGTCGACTTTGGAGTGAAGATCAGCCAGAAGCATTGCAAGAGCTACCAAGGCTTCCAGAAAAAGTCACAGTTTGGTACGGTTTATGGGGGGGGGGGGGGGGGTAGCATCACTGAACCGCACTTTTTCAAAAATGATGCGAATCGTAACGTAACTGTGAATCCACATAGCATGCGTTTTAACACCTTTAGAATATTTTTTGTGGAGCTATGTCAAATCTGATGTCTATACAGACAAGCCTGCTTCAATTCACGCACAGGAGGACAACATTGAAACGTTTATTCATGAGATGTCAGTCGTTAGAAAGAGTAAGAAATAATCTTCAAACGTTAAATTATGTGGACCGTGCTTATGCATTTTTCTGAATCTTAAGTGTTTTGTTTTTTAAACTTTCATATAGATCTAAAAAAAATCATCCTTTATAACACCGTCCGACAAAATGAAAAAAAAAATAAAACATTTTCGGAAACTTGGACTTGTTTTTGAAGTCGACGAAATGTAAGGAGCTATAATTTTTACTAAACTGCTTCCGAAATGCAGATGGTTTTTTATGACGAGCCTTTATTTCATGTGAGAAATGAACTCGGAGTGGTTGACATTCCCTGCCGACTGGGGACTTCAGTTAGAATGTTTAAATTACTTTCTGTGACTTTTGGATGTTGGGCGTAGCTAGATTTAAACGCTAGCCTTCCGCGTGGCATTAAGCAATGCTAACCACTCGGCTTCCGCGGACGTGATTTAAATACAAAAATAAAGTATATTAAAAAAAACTATTTACAGTTCTCAAAAATTTTCAAATTGAGTATTAGGAGCTACCCAACTGTAGTGCTTTGAAGATCAGAGCTATAGTGATAAAAACTTTTATATGTATAAACGGAGATACCTGTGATATATTTATGCCTATTTTTTATTGTCATTTTTTTAAGATTCCTTTCTTCACGGTCTTTGAATTAGTGATGATATTTAAAAAGGTTTTTAAAAAGTATATTTGCCATTGAATCTCATATCATAAATGAAATCATGTGGGAGGAAATGAGATCTCATTTCTTTAAAGTTTTTAACGGCTTTGCGAGGAGAAAAATAACTATAAGTCATTAAAGAAAGCAACAGTTTAATTTTTATCAGTAAAAAATATACTATAAATTAGAAAAAACTCGATAACCTTTAAGATTAAAATTTAGTAGTAAACAAACTTAACTGTGTCACATCCGTAGCAACAGAAAGACCTACTCGTTTACTGTAACCTCCATATTGTAATGTGCTATGAGCTTCTATGCATGTCTGAACAACGTGTTGCTCTCAGTCATAAAAAAACAACTTTTAAAGTCAAGCATATCAAAGATCTATATACATATGTACATATGTATAAGTAGATAAATCATCTATACAAATAAGAATAACATTACATTTTATTTACTTTTCTTCCACTTTTATAGAGTGGCGCTGGCAAATCATCGGCACGTATTGGCGATGGTCCAATTCTGACACTAGAGAAACTTGAACGTCAACAGGCTGGAGTTTATCAATGCACCGCAGACAATGGAGTTGGCGAACCGGTTACAGTTGATATGCGTTTAGATGTTTTGTGTAAGTATGAAATGCAATAATAACGTTTACATAAGCAATTAGGCGTTTATGTGGAAATTGTGAAGGGATTTATACTTGGAAAGAAAGGAAAAAAAGGTTACTCATACGACTCGGTGCAAGGAAACAAACAAACACGGCTGTGAAGCAAGTAAATGCAGAATTATAAAATTTTGGGGAAAATACTTCAAACAAAATGTAGTGGACCTTTTTTTTATATATTATAGCTTTTTTTATTCAACTAATTTCAAATATTTTTCACTTTAAGGACATGTAGGAAATTCATAAATTTGGAGATACGTAGATTGTATTCATTGTATATTTTTATTATCTATTTATGAATTATAATTGGTATTCTCATCGAAATGATATATTTTTATTATAAATTTATGAATTATATCAATTGGTATTATAAGGGAAAAATGACGAAATCTTCTTAATAGGCTTTTAATTCAAAATAAAAAAATATCTATTAGATCATTGATAAGCCAATATATTGTATTTATTTGTTATTGCCTAACATATTTGGCTTTTATAATATATTTTATTTGCGAGTTATAATCTACCCATTAAAACATGTGCGTATAAGATATATTTAGAAATTAGTTCCGTTTCCGCTAAGCCCCCTATGAAAATGTGAGAATTACATATCCTCCAACATAAATTCAACCAATTCTAACAAAAATATTTTTTATACAAATGGAACGGCTCCTGATCCACTTTCTTGAAATTGAAATAAATCAAGGATATGGAACCATTATTACAATTTTTTAAAAAATGTCAGCCAATGGTCTACTTTCAGGAAAATATTTTTTTGCCCCTAACCTTCCATCCAACCGTTTAAATTTTTGCAATAGTCAGGTGAAATGAAGCTTCGGAGATCTCTAAAAAATCATATAAAGAAAGTTTTATGTTTTATTAATGAAGATTAAGCTCTTAAAAATATAAGCAAATTTTTGAAGTTGAAAGAAATTGCTACTGAAGACACCAATTTACTTAGTTTAAAGTAGCAACTGTTGAAGCGAGTGATTCTGCATTGGATTTCAAAGCTTGAATTGAGTTGGCACAACCCAGCTAATTGCAATGCGAAGGAATTAGCGAAGGACGGAACCCCCTATTTACAATAAAGCATGCACGCCATAGAGGTTTACCTTTATCTACGGTAAAGTTTATGCTTAAACTGGCCTTGCCAAAGAAACGGCCTCTAGCTGACTGAATAAGATCTCATGAAACGTGAACAGACAACTGTGGCCGAAATTGTAGGCGAAAAACTAAAAGCATTTTTTGCTTCTATATCAATTCTTAACTAACATAACGACACACCCATTATACCTAACAGACTTCTATTTAATTGAGCTCCAAGGAATAAAAGAGCTACGAGTCTAATGTTTTTTGCCGCAACAGTAGGGACGAAGAAAAGGAAGATGCTATTTAACACTACCTCAGTCACTATCTAGCGTTCACATCTTCACGACATAAATTCCTGACTAAATACTTCTCCGACTGTCTCGCTGAGCTAACTTAAGTGAAAATTGGGAATCTCTTTACTTTTAAAAGGCATACAAAATGGTTCAAACATTTGAGAAGATGATGACTGGAGCTTCATAGCCTAAGTGCGCTGGTCACTGACCAGTTGGTGTATATACTGACTTGAAGAAAATCGAAATTGTCTACGATTTCCAAGTAATGAAACCGTTTGACGGCATGGTTTTTAATGCCTATGATATCAATATCAGATATTTAGCGTTCGCAAGCAGTTGTTTATTCTTATAGAAGATTGTAGCTTTCCTATTTTGGCCAGGTATTATTTTCTCTAGTACTAAGTTAAAGAAAGCCACGATAAATAGATGGTGTAAGTCGCATTAGTTTTTTAGGGATACTAAATACAAGCATAAAGGAAAATCAACAAAGAGGTGCCGCATGGTAAATGTTTGGTCAATTTTAGAGTTGCTATTACTGATAATGCACAATCACTTTGTTGGCGGCGGACTTTGATCGTTCACACTCTTTAGAGATCGATAAGAGCATACTAGAGGAATATTCGTGTATCGGCGAAAGAACATTTTTTTCTATCATAATCATCATAAGTAACTAGATTACATACTTCCTACATAAGCACGATATCTTAAGTAAATCGCTGCATATCTTATTAACTCAACAACTTTTGTTCTGCAGATACGAGTATAAAAGAATTTTTACTTATGTACTTACAAATTTTTTCGAAGGAAAACAATTCCTAAAAGTTATTTTTTTAAAAACAAATATTCAGGGAAAAGCTTTCAAAAATTAACCTGAAGTTTTACATCGATATTAATATGAAATATTTAAAAAATGTTTGTATATATATATACATAACTATATATAGAGTAAATTATACGCAAAATTAAAAAACTTAGAAAACATCTATTTTTTTTTAGAGAGAAGAGGGAATTTGATAATATTTCTTTAACAAAGTTATATATTAGAGAGTTCTTGGTTAAAGCACTGCTGCTGGAAGTTTTTATATATGAATTATGACTGGTTTTTAGCCTTACCACATATGAAGACAAAATCTTCAAGCCTTTTTCTATAGAACTCAATCAAAGTTGGTTGGTTATTTAAAGGACTCAATTCAAATCGGAGGCTGGTCCAGAAATTGAGCTTTCTGCTCTATAAGTTTGCAGCTGTATCCCGGCGATCTATGCACTTAAAATAAGTATCTGGCGGTTCGACCCTTCATTTTTATGTGTTCCCTCTTTAATTGTTCATTGTTGCAAAATTTTGTAAAAGAAAAAGTTTGAATTGCAATCTTATCGAATTATTAGAAAGCGCTATACATATACAAACGAATGTAATATATACCCATACATATACATATAAATAAATGCGCACATTCACTTTACTATCATTTCATATTTAACGTAGAAAATGTAGTGTGAAATATTTTTGTTCACAGCCAACAAGCAAATCCACTGCCAAAATCCGATTTAGTTATACGCGCAACAAAAATTTTTAGTTTCCACTTTCTTCTTTGCTGGCAGACATTTCGCCATTTATCATGCACGCGTTGAGTTCTTCAATGAAAAAAAAAATCCGACTTTTTTATACACCAAGAGCTGCTTTATAGTATTTTTGAGAATGATTATGCGCTTCAAAAGATAAATGTACAAATAAATTAAAGGCAAAAAAAGTCCAAAAAAAGAAAGTGAAGAAGCTAATATATTTACATACATATATATATGCGTATAAAAGATATGTATCTTAAGTAGAAATCTTTTTTCAGAAAACACATATGTTGCAACATTTTTGTAGAAGAAAGTGTTGAGTGAAAAACGAAAATGAAAAATTCCCAAAAAAAAAAAAAGTGGTGAAAAAATTTAAGTGGCAGCATTGCGCGATATGCAAATAAGTTTGAGACAAGAAAAAGACGCACACTTTCGAATATGTTGAAAAGCCAGCAAGGCTAAGTGCATGGAGACTAGCAGAAAAGATAGATATGCATACATATGTATATGCTATATATCTATATATTATTTGAATAAGAAAAGTAGAAGTCAACATGTCTATGTGTACGCTAGCGAACGTCTTTCAGGCTCTCTTCACACATCAAGCGCCGGTACGCTTCATTCCAACGAGTACTCTACGCTGCTTGTTGCCTCATTCAAATTGAAAAGTGGAAACTTATATTTGATAAATCAGTTGGAAATTTCATGAATTTTCACATGCCAACAATTTATTCGTACGAGCATTGTGCTACGTAACGGGAGATTTATTCTTTTCCTTCTTTTCACCTACAATGGACTACTTGCTTTCATAAGACATATTATAACGGCAATTGTACGCTAAGCTGCGTAAGAAACCGAAAATTATTTTTCTAGCTATTATTCATACATATACATAGTATATATGTATGTGTGCGTCTACAAGTTGCTGTGCGAGCTTAAAAGTGCAGCTGGATTGCAATTTGCACACGTAACGAGGCTCTTGTGTGCAGATAAATGACTCCCCAAGCTTTTGTAATTTTTATTTTATTATACTTTTTTTTTAACTATTATAAAATCTTTTTAGCAATTTTGGTGAAATATTTCAGCAATTAAATAATAACTTGCTCATTATGTTGAATAAATTTGTTTAATTTTCCGAAATAATGTTTTATACTCACCTTATTTATTTTAACACTTCTTTCTCTTCTCAGATCCACCAGATATACAAGTCGAGAAGTCATGGATACACTCGGGCGAAGGTTTCGAAGCAAAACTTGTTTGCATTGTTTACGCTGATCCAGTGGCTACGGTAAGTTTTTGGCTATCTCGCTTTTTAAGCTTATCAAGTTCAGCATTAACCGCGTTAATTATCTACTCGTTGCCGTTAAAGACCTTTAATTTTTGGAAATATCCAGAAATCACAGGGTGATATATCCCCGGAAGATGGTGCTGAACGTTTTTCTTCGATCCCAGAGATAGCGTGGGATGGTGCGTTTTTATGATGTAAGAAGTAGCGCAGCAAATGCTGTTTCTTCTTGTTTTCCAACAAAGTTTTGAAAACTCTTGGTAATTTTAATAGTGTAGCTGCGAAAGTCCGAGAGAATGGCCGAATTACCGAACCGTGTGAGCGTAGACGATTTTGTTCTTCCAGAAGAATGTTTTACAGAACTTAGTCTATCGAGTGGTCTATCCTTTCTATCCTTATTTTGCTCAATACCCTGGAAAGGCTCTCTGACTTATATACAATCAACCGAGATGACATTTCAAAGACCTCAACATCCACACTGTATGGATATGTGGGTGGACTTCGTCTTATACAGCTTAGCTGTAGGAAGCCCATTTATTCGATATTGACTAGCATTTGATAAAACTTTCCTGGATGCAACTATCTACTCATTGTGTAGGGGTAAGTTCCTGAATACTCTTTATAATGAACCTTAATGGGGTAACAATTTAGGCGCTCCAAACTGGTCTAGCTGTAAATTACTCGAGTAAGACAAAACTCGCGTTATTCACAAGGAAGTCAAAATGCGAAATTCTCCTGGCTCCAAGTAGACCGGGTCGTGAAAGTTTTTCTCTATCACAATATTTAAACACTCGCCTAGAGTGGGAGGTTATGAGAATTTTGTAAAAATTATACAGAAATTTCATAGCTGCTTCGCACCATTAGCCGAGTTTAAAAAGTTTGAAAATTTAAGAACAAAAGGTATAACATTTTCAACATCCAACAGTTCTGAAAACCCTGAAACTTAAAGTCAACTTATTTCTTCCGAAAAAATATGAAAAGGGCATTGGTTATATTTTAAATAGCTGCGACTCCTACTATGTTTTTATTTTATAAATTCATTTGAAATTTTTTAGGCCCAAATTTTGCGAATATAATAAGGAATATACACTGAATTTATTTCTGAGTATTTTATTATTTTGGAGAAGAGTGATTGGGATGTGTGCTTTAGGCAACCTTCGTGTGAAAGATTTGTCTAAATATTAAATGTATTTTTTTCACAGTTTAAGCTCAAATGAATTTCACTACAGATGTATGTGTGTATTTACTTAGAATTTTCCTTCAAAGATTTCTTTTAAACATTACTTGTTTGTTCATACTCCCTGCAGGTATCCTGGTATCAAAACTCATTTCCGATACAAACGACCGATAGGCGAATTATGTCAACAAGAGCAAATAGACACACGCTCACCATACGTCACATACAGCAAGAGGACTTTGGCAACTACAGGTGAGTGATGAGATAGACAGAATGTTATAGAAATTAAAGAGATAAAGAAGAAATAGTGAAAACAAAAAAAAAAAAAATAACTATAATAAAAAAAAAACTAGAATTAAGTAAATAAAAATAAAAATAAAAATAAGAAAAAATAAGGGGAAACTTTAGGCAATGAAGGAAAAAATAAGAAAGAGTACGTAAAACAAAGCAACAGCTTTGATAACAAATAGACTAATAAATGTTACGAAAATAGTAGGTTGAGAGGGGATAAGGGGCGAAGAAGGCGAAAAAAAAGAATATAAAATTTATGAACTAGGCATTGGCAATGGAAGCGCATCTTCGAGAGTCTGCATGGTAAGCGACCAGCGCTAATACCATATGTATATATGTGTACATACGAGTATATGTACTAATATATTTACAGCATTTGCTTGCTATTGCTTTGGGCGCTGATTTACTCAATCGAGTTAACTTATTACATTCATTTTTTTGTTTATTTTTTTTTTTTTTTTGTTTTGTACACTCAACTGGACGACGACAAAGTTTTTGAAGTCAAATCATGAACACTGTCAAACGACTTTTCATTTACTTGGTAGCCAGACACACACACACACACACACGCAATACCAAAAGCTAATGCCGCCAGGTCATCTGGACGCCATCATCGTCGTCATCGTCGTGCATGTGTGGATAAAAGTAACTTTTCCACATCAATGTCAAACTGTCTGCTTCAAAGGTATATTAACGAAAAAAGAACAACAACAACGGAAACAGAAAAAGAATATTGTTAGCAAACAACAAACCAGAAAAGTTGAAAGTCCAACGGAAGTTACCATATTGGCTGCTGCTACTGCACCTGCTGAGTATTTCAAACAAAAGTTAGGTGACAACATCCAACCAGCAAGCCAGCCAGCCAGCTAGCTCGGAGATTAGTAAAGTGATGTGAAGTTCAAGTCGAATCTCTGACATGCCAATGCGCTGATTGACATATACAACATGTACATATTTACCTATATACTCCCTACGGTTATGTATATGCGCATAATCCTTAAAATATATATGAATTTGTGCTCACATGAAAGGGCGTTGTCCCTTCGCTTTTGTCTCTGGCCCGTTCCCTATAGTCCGTCTGTGTTGATTGGTTTGGTGTGGAACTGACTGGCTGCTGATGTGGCTCTGCCCGTATCAAATCGAAAAGGAAATTACGTTTTCGCTATGAAATTAGTTTTTTAGTTATAACTGTGTGCAATAAATGTACGCTCAAAGGTGGGATGTGATGGTGGGCTGAGTGTGTAATTCCATCACGAGAGTGATAAATTAATTATGAACTTAAATGAGTTCGCATATCAAGCATAGCATGTGTGTCGGCTGGAATTTGTAGGTAGATATTTTTGTGTCATAGGTATAAATGAAGAAGAATTTCGAGGAGGAAGAGTGAGAAGAAACTGATGATTGATATAAACACATTTAACGTTGAAAACTTTGTCAATAAGCCATTTTATCTACAAGATTTTGTGGGCACTTCGCAATTGTGATGAAATAGAAGATTATCAATAACCGGTATACCTCAGTCTTCATCATAAATTTTTATTGCAATACAGACGGTCGAGAAACCAACATATATTGGCCTCATCTCAAAGGATCTTTCATGCCATAT